GGTATTAAGAATCCTCTAGGGCAGAGTGATCACAATATGATTGAATTCTGCATTAAGTTAGAGAGGGATATAGTTAAATCCGAGGCAAGTATTCTGAATTTAAATAGGGCTAATTTTGTAGGTATGAGGAAAGATTTAGGTAAAATAGACTGGAGAATAAGATTAAGAGGTAAAAATGTAGACCAACAGTGGCAAATATTTAAGGATGTAGTGCAAAATTCTCAGCAGTCGCATATTCCCTTGCGGAATAAGAGTACCACAGGGAAAGCAATTCATCCGTGGCTAACTAGAGCAGTTAGGGAAAGCATCAAATTAAAAGAAAAGGCTTATAAAACTGCCAAGAAAAGCAGCAAATCTGAAGATTGGGAGAGTTTTAGAAACCAGCAAAATAAAACTAAAAAACTCATTAAGAGCGAGAAAAAGGAGTATGAGGGTAAGCTAGTTAGGAACATTAAGTCTGATTGTAAAAGTTTTTACAAATATATTAAGAGGAATAGGCTAGTGAGGGTAAATGTAGGTCCACTACAGTCAGAGACGTAGGGTTAGGGTTAGGATCTTGCATCTGTCTTCACCCTAGAAGACACAACAACTCTGACAACAATAGAGATGCACCAAAGGGATAAGGACAGGGAGCAACTTAAGGAAATTTTCATTAGTAGAGAATTGGCGTTAGGGAAACTGTTAGCATTAAAAAATGACAAATCCCCTGGTCCAGATGTCTTGCATCCCAGGGTTTTAAAAGAGGTAGCTTATGAGATAGTGGAGGCCTTATGTCTGATCTTCCAAAATTCCTTGGATTCTGGAACAGTCCCCATGGATTGGAAGATCGCAAATGTCACACCACTATTTAAAAAAGGTGGAAAGGAAAAGATGGGGAACTATAGGCCAGTTAGTCTCACATCAGTGATAGGAAAAATTTTAGAATCATTGATTAAGGATGTGGTAGTGCGGTATTTAGGGAAGCACAATATAATTAGGCCAAGTCAACATGGCTTTACAAAAGGGAAGTCATGTTTGACAAATCTCAGAGTTTTTTGAGGACATTTCCAGTAAACTAGATAAGGGTGAATCAGTGGATGTGGTCTATTTGGACTTCCAGAAGGCATTCGATAAGGTGCCGCATAAAAGGTTAGTCCAAAAGATAAGGGCCCATGGAATTGGGGGAGCATATTAACGTGGATTGGGGAATGGTTAACGGGTAGGAAACAAAGAGTAGGGATAAACGGGTCCTTTTCAGATTGGCGGGATGTGACTAGTGGAGTGCCACAAGGATCAGTCCTTGGGCCTCAGCTATTTACCATCTACATCAACGATCTAGATGAGGACATCGAAGTTAATATATCTAAATTCACGGATGACACAAAACTAGGAGGAAGTGCCAACACAGAGGACGACATTAAAAAAATGCAGCGAGACATAGATAGGTTAGGTGATTGGGCAGGTAGGTGGCAGATGAAGTATAATGTAGGGAAGTGCGAAGTCATCCACCTAGGTAGCAAAAACAGTAGAGCGGGTTATTTTTTAGAAGGGGAGAGATTGGAATGTGTTAGTGTCCAGAGGGACTTGGGTGTCCTTGTACACCAATCACAGAAAGTTAGTCTGCAGGTGCAGCAGCAATTAGGAAGGTGAACGGTATGTTAGCATTCATTATGAAAGGATTAGAGTATAAGAGTAGGGAAGTCTTGCTGCAACTGTATAGGGCCCTGGTGAGACCACACCTGGAATACTGTGTCCAGTTTTGGTCTCCTCATTTAAGGAAGGACGTACTTGCCTTGGAGTGGGTGCAGCGTAGATTTACTGGGTAAGTACCAGGGCTGAAGGGGATGAGTTACGAGGATAGGCTGACCAATTTGGGCCTATATTCTCTAGAATATAGAAGAATTAAAGGGGGGATCTTATAGAAACCTATAAGATCATCAAAGGGCATGATAGAGTAGATAGTGGGAGATTGTTTCCCCTGGTTGGAGAAACTAAAACCAGGGGTCACAACCTTAAAATCAGAGGCCAGCCCTCTCGCACTGAATTGAGGACAAACTTCTTCACTCAAAGGGTGGTGAATGTATGGAACTCACTACCCCAAAGGGCTGTTGACGCTCAGTCCTTGAACATATTCAAGACTGAGATAGATAAATTTCTTACTGCTAAAGGGATTAAGGGATATGGGGATAAGGCAGGGTCAGGTTATTAGCTGGAGTTAGATTAAAAGCTCAGCCATGATTGAATGGCGGGGCAGGCTCGAAGGGCCGAATGGCCTACTCCTGCTCCTACATGTTATGTTATGTAAGGTGTGGTCTCTTCGGGGGTTGAGTTGACTCCAAAGTGATGTGCATGGCAAGGGAATATTGGAATCAAAAGATCCTCTGTGACAGTATCAGTAGTCCAGTTCCTGAGCCAGGCAGATCCACAGTACTCCAAAGGACTGTTAATGATGAGCCAGCCAGCAGGCTTGGAGGGTAAGACCTGACACTGGGGGTTGGGATTCTTCCCATTTAGTTCCTGTTAACCCTAACAGGTAGGGTGTTCTGAACTGAATAGGCAGTGGGAGTCTTTAGTGTTTGAAATGGCAAGCAGCATAGTATTACCTGGTTAAACTCCAGCAGTACCTCAGTACATACTATGAGGTCCCCAAGCCTTGGCTCTTGCCAACGTGTGTCTAATATATTTTGGGATTAATTGTACATCCTTCCATGCACCGCATTCCAACAAATAGAAATTTCCATTTTATGTGGTATTCAACAGTTTCATTTGGAGACACTTACACATAATGATGGGTTTCTACATCAGATGACTGGCTAACCAAAGAAAATGGGTGGAGCTCACAGTCAATCTCAACCTGTCTGAATCTAACCTTTATACATCATAATTTCCTGCATATTGTCATCAAATAAATGATAATTTGATCACTTAATCCACAACTGTTTGTGGGACACTGCTGTGGGCGATTGGCTGCCGCGTTTCGCTTACGAAATATACAGTCAATTTACTTTACAGTATATTTTATGATGTGCTTTGAGGTGAGACGACTCGAAGATGTGAATACATGATTTATTATTATTAACTAGCAGTTATTTTTCTTTCCCAGTCTAGGAACAATGTTAATTGTGTTCCTATTGCTGCCTCATTAAGGTTAACAAAATCAACATAGCCATACATCAAATCTAAGNTTTTTTTGTGTGGATTAGTACAGTACCATATGGTAAATATCACATACAAAATAATACAAAACAAATGCAATATTTAATATCAAATGAATGTTTGTTTAACTGCTTGTCAATCAATTATGTCATTTCTAAAATATTTTCTAATATTTTTGCCAAAAAATTTGATTTTACTTGAGTTTTTAATGAAAAAAACAAAGATTAATACAGAGAAGACATATTTTGTGTAAATATTTAGCACAAGCAGCAGTGAAAATCTCTTTTCCTGAATTGTCACCTCTCCTCTGCTGAAAGCTCCAGGAATGACAGCAGTCCATCACCCTTGTTCCTCACCAGGTTTCACTGCCTTCTTGTCTTCCAGCTGATCAACTTCAAAATCCTCACTCTCATCTACTAATCTCTAGACATCCTTGCCCTAACATCTAATCTTCTCCAGTCTCACTGTCCTATTTATCCCCTCAGCTTGGCAAACCTAAACCTGCTGCGCAATCCTGGCCCTTTCCACCTCAAAATTGGCAGCTGATCCTTCAACCACTATGCCCCTAAACTCTGGAACTACTTCCCTAAATCCCTCCATCTAGTCGGGCAACTACCTACCTTCTCACCCACCCACTAACTTACTCATTCTTGGAGTCCTGTCGCTCAGTGGTTAGAGCACTCACCTCGCAAGCAAGAAGACCTGGGTTTGATTCCCCGGCAGAGCAAAACTTTAGAATTATTATTATGTGAAAGGCACTATGTACATGCATGGTTTTGATATTGTTAATCCTTCCGTGCCATTATTGGTAGCAGGTTATTAGGGCTTGAGGGAGCTCAGGATGACGCCTCCAAATTTATCTTTAAAAGGAGGTGAGCTGTAGATAGATGGCAGCTTTCCCCCTTCCTCCTCTTCACCGGACAGGCTCCGTGTCATTATTAAAGATGGCTGGCTCCACCCTCTTCACTTCACAGACCCCGATGGACCTTGGAGTCTGCACAATGAGGAAGAGGGAAGGGAGGCGGCCATTTTTGACATTGGCATGGAGCCTTTGTCTGTACCCCCCCCCCCCATTTGCACCCGCTGCTTATGCACGTGACGGTTAGTTGCTGTGCCTTCAGACATTGCACCTCTAACCGCTGGAACTCCCTGCCTCAATCCTCTGCCTTACAACCTCTAGCTACCTTTGAATCCCATCTCAAAACCTAACAATTCGACTGCCCCAATGGTTACCTCCTCCTTCCCCTTCTTTGTTGCATTCCTGCAGAACCTTCTGAAACGTTATCCTGTGTGAAGGGCACCATATAAATGCAACTTATTGCATCGCTGACAAGAAAATCACAAATTATGTCATTTCATAAAAATGAAACCAAAAGTGCCTGTAGGAACAAGAATGCAAAGCCCACTTTCGGCTCACTTCTCATATGTGCAGTGTGTGGGGTTAATTCTGGAAATTTATTTATGCAATAGCCTTGATCGGAAATTGTGACTAACGTGGCATTGAGCAACATTCCATGACCAAATAAGCAAACACAATAGATGGGAAAATGAGATGTTGCAACCAACCAATATTTTTTAAAAGAAAGATATAATATAATCCTTGTATTCGATATAGCGCCTTATCACTTCACCAAGAAGTTTCAAAGCGCTTCACAAAATATACTGTAAAGTGGATTGATGGGTGTATTTTGCGGGCGAAAATGACCGCAAGATATAAGATGCTTGGAAGTTGGATGCTTCTAATGAAGTATGTGCTGTAAGGGTGCCAGACAGTCTTCTCCTCATCACAGAGGACAAGACTGACAGCCACTCACTCTTACAGGACAGATGGAGAGGGCGGTGCAGAATTTGCATTGGATCTGGGGGCGGATTCTAACTGAGCCGTGCAGCGAGGTCTGCCCACATCACAGCTTTAAGCAGCGATTCACCACTGCGTGATGTCGACACTAATCTCTCATCAGCAAAAGGAGGAGTGAAAATAATTCATTTCTGAGCGTGCAAACTGAAGGTAGCCGACGTCTGGAGGAAATAACAGGAGGAGATTCTTAAATGTTCTTCTGCTGAGAGGTAAGGTTTGTTTGATCCCCACTGAGTGAGCGCAGCTGCAGACACAGAGGTAGACAGAGCTCTCACACTGACTGTCTGGGCACAGGGATAGACAGAGCTCTCACACTGACTGTCTGGGCACAGGGATAGACAGAGCTCTCACACTGACTGTCTGGGCACAGGGATAGACAGAGCTCTCTCACTGACTGTCTGGGCACAGGGATAGACAGAGCTCTCACACTGACTGTCTGGGCACAGAGATAGACAGAGCTCTCACTGACTGTCTGGGCACAGAGATAGACAGAGCTCTCACACTGACTGTCTGGGCACAGAGATAGACAGAGCTCTCACACTGACTGTCTGGGCACAGAGATAGACAGAGCTCTCACACTGACTGTCTGGGCACAGAGATAGACAGAGCTCTCACACTGACTGTCTGGGCACAGAGATAGACAGAGCTCTCACACTGACTGTCTGGGCACAGAGATAGACAGAGCTCTCACACTGACTGTCTGGGCACAGAGATAGACAGAGCTCTCACACTGACTGTCTGGGCACAGAGATAGACAGAGCTCTCACACTGACTGTCTAGGCACAGGGATAGACAGAGCTCTCACACTGACTGTCTGGGCACAGAGATAGACAGAGCTCTCACACTGACTGTCTGGGCAGAGAGAGAGAGAGAGCTGCTACACTGGCTGGGCAGAGAGAGAGAGAGAGAGCTGCCACACTGGCTGGGCAGAGAGAGAGAGAGAGCTGCCACACTGGCTGGGCAGAGAGAGAGAGAGAGATGCCACACTGGCTGGGAAGAGAGAGAGAGAGAGATGCCACACTGGCTGGGCAGAGAGAGAGAGAGAGATGCCACACTGGCTGGGCAGAGAGAGAGAGAGAGATGCCACACTGGCTGGGCAGAGAGAGATAAAGAGCTCCCACACTAACTGGCTGGGCAGAGAAATAGAGAGAGCTCCCACACTGACATGTTACTATGTCCAGTGCGCTTCACACTCATTTGGGCAACATTTTCTCCTTGAGGAACTAACCTCAGTAACTAACCGCAATTGGCTGCTGCGTTTTGCCCACAAAACATACAGTCAATGTACTGTACAGTATATCTTGTGAAGTGGTTTGAGATGTCTCAAAGATGTGATGAGGCGCTATATCAATGCGAGGATTGTTATTATAATAAGATGAATGCTGCTGGAGTTTAGCCAGTTAATACTGTGCAGCTGACCACTAATGATGATAATAGTGCTTCACAGAATATCCAATGAACAGCTATGAAGTGAATGCCTAATTTTGTCTGGGGATTGTTGATCAGGACACTGGGAGAAGTTATTTTCAAATAGTGTCATGGGCTCTTTAATGTCTACTTCAACGGACAGACAGAACCCTGGTTTAACATCTAAATCTAAAGAACAGGATCTATGAAAACATAGCAATTCCAAACCTGTCCTGTATAATGTCAGAGTAGATAAAAGTTCATGCAGTAGATATGTGGAGAATAGAGAAAGTTAAGAGGGATCTAATACATTTTTAAAAAAATGTTTTTGATAGGATAGAGAAACTATTTCCATTGATTACTGTGGAGTAATTCCATTGATTAATCCACAGTAATAAGGGTATAAATTGAAAATTATAGCGTTACCAGAAGAAAAAGGGAAGTTAGATTTTTTTTACGGAAGGTTAGCACATGGAATGCCTTTGCTTTAGCTGAGTCATTCGAAGCAATTAACTAGGAATTGGAAAAATACTTAAGGAACCAACAACAACTTGCATTTATATAGCGCCCCTCGTGCAGGGTAGTGTCCTAGAGTGCTTGACAGTGGCGGAACATGATGCCGAGCCGGGGGAGGTAACCTCAAATATGTACAATCAAATAGGAAAGTCTTCAAGCATGACCTGAAGATGGGGAACGAAGGGGCAAGGCCGAGGGATAGAGTACGAGTGTTCCATAGTTTTGGGGCGTAATGGCAGTACTGGCTGTGTCTGGGCTATGGTAAGGAAAAATAGTATTAAAGGTTTATGCAAAAGAATAGGGGAATGGGATCAGTGCAATTAGCTGGCTTCAGTGGGGTTGCTAGAACCAGCACAAACATGATGGGCCATATATCTGTATCTTCCTGACTTACAACCTTCTGTGATTTCAATTTTAAAGATTTTTTTATGGTCTCAGGTGATTCGTTTATCCACTGAGATATTAGGGGTGTTGCTGGTATTCAAAATAACATAATAGTGCTGACCTTAAAAATGAATTAAGTTTTTAGAGCACAAGTAANTTTTTTTCCTATGAGGAACACTTGATTGGACAATGAATTTGCGGAATTCTTCACTCATTTTCTCATCAACCCCTCTTCCAGCAAGTTCCCAGAATGGACGCGTGTGGTTTTTGCCATAAAATAATCTGACCACATCTGCTCCTGGTGAAATCTGTAACAAGAACATACTTTTGAAAGTCGTTAATACAAACATTAGTTCAAATTGCAGCATTCTGGGGGCATGTGGTCTTAGTCTATGCTGATGATCTTGCGGTGCTGGAGGAGTCCTGTTTTGTTAGAAATATCATCTTTCAGATGAAACCAGGATCCAGTATTCAGTTGGATGTTAAATATCCTGTGATACTATTCAAAAAAGAAGGGAGTTTTGACCAACAATCCTCCGAAAAATGTTCATTCACCACATTGCTACCGTGCGACCTTGCTATTTACAAAATGGCTGCTGCGTTTGCTATGTGCAAATTGACTGCCACATTCACTGTGTGCACAATGTCTGTCACGTTTGCCTACAAAATGCTGCATTTGACTGGAATTATGGTAAAGTGGCTCAAATAGTTTTGACATGACAAGACACTATAAACATGGAACTTGTTTCTTCAGTTTATCAGCCAATCCTGATCAAAACTGATTAGAGCAGTACCACAAGACAAGCACTACAAGACTATCTATTCATGAAACATCTGCCAGCAATGCACTCCAAACATCTTTAATATGATTACAACATAAGCCTCAAACTAGTTTAAAGCCAACTAGTTTTAACCTGCTGCCTCCACATCACTGTTTACAGAAATATGTTTATGTTCCTGGAAAAGTTAAATAGACTTTGAGCTGCAGAGACCACATGTACTCTTTGTCAGGATAATCTGTTTATTAAAACGTAAGTCTGAAATTCTGTGGTAGGCAGCATGCTGTTATACTCCCCATTCATGGCTTTGTCACCTACAAGATTGGCTTCTCAAATGCCCACCGCTCAGACCTCTCCAGCTCATGCTTACGTGCATGAAACTTTATAAACCAATTACCTTGTGCTTACCTCTCTTTCATGGGATGTCTCACCTACAATTCCTTTATGTCTTATGTCTTCAGCCTCATTCTTCTGCTTGTCAAGGAGTCCCGTAGCGTAGTGGTTAGTTCGGTCGCCTCACAACCGAGAGGACCCAGACTCAATTCCCGGGGGGGTGTTGAGGTGAGGGGGGTGCGAATTCTTGAGCAAGTTTCCTTATTCCAAATGCCTCTGTTTACCTCGCAGTAAGTAGGAACCCGGTTGTTACTCGATTGGTTGATCGCTTTCCAGAGGTGATGATCTGTGTGTCAGCCAGGCCCAGTGGTAGCACCTTCGCCTCAGGCAGAAGGTTGTGGGTTCAAGCCCCACATCGGGATTTGGAATCACATAGTCTAAGATAACACTTCAATGTCGTGCTGGGGGGTGTTTTACATTGTCGGAGGTGCTGTCATTTGGATCAGACGTTAAATCGAGATCCCATCTACCTGCTCAGATGGCTGTGAAAGGTTCCATGGCATTATTATAACAATAATAAATAATAATCCTTGCATTTGATATAGCCCTTTTCATGTCTTCTAGACGTTTCAAAGTACTTCACAGAATATACTGCAAAGTGAATTGACCGTATATTTGTGGGTGAAATGCGGCAGCCAGTTGCGCACAGCAGTGTCCCACAAACAGTCGTGCATTGAGTGACCAAATTATAATTGTTTTTTTTTCTGGAGGGTTTATTATCAGGCGTGTGGAGTGAGGAAACTTGCCCAAGGTTTTGCCCTGAATCGAACCCAGGTCTCTTGCTTGTGAGGCGAGTAGTCTAACCACTGAGCTACAGGACTCCCCTACTTATTTGAAAAGAGGAGTTTCTCCTAGTGTCATGATCAACAATCTCCCAAACCAAAATTGGTCACTCCATGGCTGTTTGTGGAATATTGCTTTGCGCAACTGGTTGCATGTTTCATCCACAAAATACAGTCAATCCACTTTACAGTATATTCTGTGCAGAGGTTTGAGACATCTCAATAACTTGATAAGGCACTATATCAAATGCAAGGATGAGACCATGGTTAAGTAGGACTTAAACGAGATGAGTGTGATCCCACTGAGGTGGATGAGGGAGGCAAGATGGTTGAGGAGGATGGCGTGATCTCCCTCTCTGTTTTTAAAAGTAATCTAAAAACCTTTCTCTTTGACTGTGTCTCTGTAAAGTGCTCAACACAACTATGCAAAGGGAACTGTACAAATGCAAGTTGTTGTAAACATTTTAACAAGGAATCTACTTAACTGCCTCTGCCCACTGTTATCTGATTGAATTTTTGCTAAGTTAAGCTCGTGGTCGACGGCTGATTCTCCAATCTGATTACTGTTAATTGAATGTTTTGGACAAAGTATTCAGTTTAAACTTCATTCAAACTGCTCTTCGCCTTCAAGTTGCATGCAAAATTAGCTAAGAAATGCACAGCTCAGCAGGAGCTTGATCTGTAATCCTTGATCTGTAAATTCAGGTTTCTGATGTGACATAATCTTAAATTGATTACTGTGTGTGATGCAAGTCTGGGTATTGATATTGTAGCATTTTGTGTGACACACGTTATATACCTGGGAACTCTCCTATTCCTCTGATTCATTTTCAAATAAAATTTGACCTGAAACTTTCTAGATTGTATGGCTTAGGGACCGGTCTGGCTCAGTTAGTCACATTGCCACATCTTTGTCAAAAGGTTTTAAGGTTCAAGCACTTGGACTTT